TTCAATAATTTATTTAGATTTATATGGAATGTACATTTTTCAATGTAGAAATCAAGTCAACAGTAACTAAGGATAAGATCAAATCAATTTAAAAATCCAGATCCAATTAAGTAATAATAAAAGGCACAGTAGTGATGCAATAAACAATGGTATGAAAAAGTCTTTGAACAAATCAACAATTTTTATAAAAAAGATAAATGTTTCAAATTAAAAGTGTTTTTCATCTTCTTAATAACTAATTCTTGTAAACTAATTTAATCTTGCAGAAATTGTAGATGTAATATATATTTAAATTAGCATTAACTTAAGTTGACAACAAGCCAAGGAATCGTATCGTGGACGTTATTTTATCCCATGAATATTGCTCATTCATTAAGAAACCACCTCCGTGTTGTACTGTTAGTAGCAAAAATTCATCTGAAAAGTTCACTGCAGATCTTCTCTAAAATACTATCTCCTCCTGGAACTAAACATTTCAAATTCTGATTTGTCTCTTCATAAACTTTTTCCATTATTCTTCAATCCAATTTTCATGTTCTTTGACAAACTTAAGTTGTCTTCCATTGAACAGACCGAAGAAATAGTTTTCTTCTGAGAATACAACCTTTAAGACCTAATGATAGTAATTTCCTTGGGTTCTTGTAGCACCAGCTATTTCCTAAGCCAGTTCTCTGCTAGATTTTTAGTGATTGTGCCAACACAATAATTTAAATGTTGTTCAGCACCAGGAGTATGTTTTTTAGACCTGACTGAACGTTTCGTTTCTTCAGTTCATGTGTTTGTATAAAAAAAATCTATGACATAATAACCATGAAAATGATAACCAGACATTGAACCTACAATTTTTTTTTTTTTTCCTAAATGAAAGTTATCGATGCAAAATTATAATTTTATGTAAAATATATGATATATTGCCATTTTTTGAAATAAAAGTAATATTAAATAGAAAATAAAAATAAATTATGAAATGTTGAAGTAAATTTCCGAAAAAAGGTGAAGAATTCCAATATTTGAACAATTTTTACAGATACAATCAGCTTCCTACAGTTTATACAATAGCTCTTGATGTTAAGAATACAGTATAAAGACTGAAGTAGATAACAAAGAAGTGAAATTTAAACAATAAGGTAGCAATACCCAGGGGATAAAATAACATCAACACAACGGATTGGTCCCTTGGATTGTTGTTAATTGAAAATAATGCTCATTTAAATATATATTACATCTACAATGTCTGCAAGGTTAAATCAGTTTACAATTAAAAAGATTTTTTTTTTTTTTTTATTGATGATATTTACAACTGTATTACAAGTAAAAATACATTCAGTAAATGTGAACAAAGGAATAAAATAGCATGAAATCACTTGTTGAGAAACTACCCATTGGTAGCACTCTAAAAATGTATTTACAAAAGGAGATCTCGAGGCCATCTTCTTTTCAGACGCCTAAGAGGGTTGTCAGGGATCGAAGAGGAAGCAAGGTTAGAAACGAGAGGGTTTGGATGGTTCTGAAGTTTGTTATGGAAAGATAGGTATCTGGATTGGACCAGGTTAGAAACATAAGGAACATTAAGGTCGTTATGGATGATTTTGTTTGTGACAAAGTAAGAAGCAGTGAGGATTTTACGAAGGATTTTGGATTGTAAGGATTGGATACAAGAGGAATTCGATGGCTTAGAGGAGCCCCAGAGCTCAACTCCGTAAGTCCAAATAGTTCTTATTGTAGTCATGTATATGAGTCTTTTGTAATTGACTGGGAGGTTAGAGCGTTTGTCTAGTAAGTGCTGGAGTAGTCGGAAACGTCGAGCTGTTTCTTGTCTTTCAGTGTGGTATGAAGATTCCAAGTTAGACGTTTGTCTAAGTGGAGTCCAAGGTATCGAATTTGTTCAACAGGGATAAGTGGGGTATTATTAAAGGATATTGTAGGACAAGAGGACATAGGTTTATGACAAAGGGTAAAGGTGATTTGATGGGATTTATTGGAATTTATTTTTATCCTCCAGTTTTGACACCATTCTTCAAGGTTTGTGATGTGTGATTGAAGGGTTTGGGATGCAATTGTTGGGTCGTTATTAACTGATAAGAAACATGTATCATCGGCATACGTGGTAATGACTGTGTTAGGATGGGTTGGGATATCAGCTGTATAAACTGTGTAAAGAATAGGACCTAGGATACTACATTGAAGAACACCAGCGGACTGGGAAAAAAAGGATGAATAGGCATTATTATGATTTACTTAATTAAAAAGATAAAAATACTTTTATCATTTTTATATTTTGGTGTGGGGAGATGACAATCCCAACGCCCAGTTGTCAACTGCATTCAGGTACTGGCTCTCTAGGTTGGAGGGGACACCTACACTGACACTCACATACCCTCACACTACAAAGTAAGTTTACCCATAGTAAACACCCTAGGGTTATCTCTCATAGATAGCCCCACAGCAGACTAGAGTACCTAGAGAGGCCTTAAACTGCTAACGTCGACCCTAACCACTTTCTTAGCATAGCCATAGTCATAGCAAGAATAAACAAAGCCCATCGCAGACAAGCACAGGCTGAGAAGCGCTATGGTATGAAGAAAATAAAAGATCCAGATGGCCAACAGAGATATGGGTCAACACTAGACCAAAAGCTCATGGAAAGCCACATATGGGAAGATATGAACAAGGAATAGGAGAGATGCTCTTCTGCTATTACACAAATAGCTGAAGAATTCTGGGAACAGCTAGAGGAAAAGCTTGATGATGACAGTGACAGTGATTTGATGATGAATAAAAAGATGCCACGGTTGCAAAGAACGTGTCATATCAGGCGATGATAAACAGGACATGCACTGAAAAAAAAAAGTTTAAGGTGGGCAGGACACTTCGCATGGATGTCAGAGCAGTCAGTCCCAAAGAAAATATTAACAGAACAACTATTCAAAAGGCACAGAGTTTAGAGACCCAGGCTGAGGTGGTTGGACTGTGTCAAGGTGACTTAAGGTCCATTGGAGTAGGAAATTGAATGGTAGGAGCACAGAATAGAGATACATGGTGATTGCTGTTGGAGAAGCCAAGACCTAGATTAATAATAATTTTTCTAAAAAATTGGTTTGTTTTAAGAACTTTTCACACCACTATAGATAGTGATATTTTTCCTCAAACACCTGATATTTTAACATCAATAGTTCATTTCATAGACATTTCCTCATTGATGTAAGGCAATCGGTGACAAATTCATGCTCAGGCAATTGCCTGGGTCTGCGAAATTTGAATGAAATTGTATTTTTAGATTCAAATTAATTTGTAAAAAATAAAATAAACAGTTGAATTGAACTAAGATAAATATAATAATTATATCCACTTAATTTTTAACAAAAAAGCAATGATTGTTTTTGTAGGTAGGAGTAGCTGAAAGGGGCAGCATTATCTATCACGCCTATGTGAGGCATGAAAAAAATATCTCTTCTTAAGGAATGCAACCTAACCTAAACTATGCAGGCATCTTTTGTGCTATAAAATTTATATACGTGATAAATATAACCAAAAATAACAATCTTAAAGGTTGTAATAAAATAATATTTTTTTTAATTATAAAAAATAATATGAAAAAATGCAAAAGTATCGATAAAAATTTAAAAAAAAAAAAAAGGAAAATAATGAAATAGAAATAACATTTTTATTTTAAAAATATACAACAGGATATAGAATATATAATCAATATGTCATTTGAAGAATAAGTGAAATTATTCTATTTTTACTTTCACTTACCTATATATGTAATACATAGTAAGGTTAATTATTGCGATCATGAAAATTTTCGAATCTGAGTTTTTAATGTAAATACACGTTTTGTGGTCCCCTGAGTTGAAATAACCAAGTCCTCCAAAATGGTCTGTGTATGTGTCCGTATGTGAACAGCCTAGGTCAGAAATGAAAAGTCATACTAAACTAAATTGCCTATTTGAGGTTCTTATAAGCCTTCGATGTTACAGCAACATTTTCATCAAAATTGGCAAACTGGAAGTGGTACTTTATATAATCGATTTAACACATTATTATGATTATCTCAAAAACGGCTCTAATGATTTTGATTTAACTCAGTATATCAATTCATTTTTAATATAATGTGGATTTTATTCTCTTTGATATTCTTTAATAGCGCTTAAATGGCTAATTTTCAATATTAGCTTCCTCTAAGGTACCTTTAATTTTTTTTATTTGAAATAATTAACTATCTCATATTGATATTTGATAAAAAAAATAGCTAAATATAAAATATGAAAGAATTTGATAATTAACTAAAGGAGAAATGAGATCGTAACGGATAACAGTTGTAATGGAAGAACCAATTTATTTAACCAATTAATAATTAGATTTATTTAACTATTTTCATGATACTGAGTTGACAAGACCTAGTCATGCAAAAAAAGGAATTAAGGATTTATTGAAAGGAAATACAGATATTATAAATATATATTATATATTTCATAATTATCAAACATTACAAAGTCGGAAAAGGACGACAATAATACTTTCACAGCCTTGAGGTTAACAGGAATGATGGAACAAGCTGAATGGCAGCAGAAATCTTTGCATTCATAAACCATGAATTAATAAAAAAAAGCTAAATATAACACTCAATACATCTAAACTAGATATACATTCCAATACCACAATAAACATTTCATTTTTATAGGAAAAATTATAAAACATTGAAGTATAAAAATAGACAGATTAAGAACACCTAAATAATTTAAAGGTGGAATTTCTGAGACAAAAATGAACATTGTCAACAACAGAATACAACTTGAATATGAAAAAAGTTCATACTGAGTAGGAAAACATTATTTTTCAAAAATAATGAAAACGAATATACTTTGTTTCATAACAATTAGACATAATGTCTTTTTTACAACTTATAATATGAATTAAAATTGTATATAAACAATAAAAAAAATATTACAAAGTTAATCAAAAACCTTGTTAACAAAGAACTATTGTATAATAGAAAATTAAACTTTTAGACCTAAAACAAGTGATATAAATGTCTCATAGTGAATGGTTATCAGTCCATCTTGATCAGTATCATACTGCTTAAATGCATTGGTCAGGTTCTGTAACATGCATAATAATATTAGTACATTACACAAAAAAAAAAAAAAAAAAAAAAGAAGCAGAAATAATAAACTTAGATTATTTAAAAACATAGAAGCACACTTTTGATTCTGGTTGGTGGGGGGGATAGACACCCCCAAAAAATTCATAACACTGCTCTACATTGATATTGTATCTCACTTGAAAATAGCCTCATCCCATGTTTTTTGGAGTGAGAAATTAGAATTTCCACATAAAAATCATCAAATAGCTCTAGTTACTTTAGTTAGTTATTACTTTTTGCGAAATATGGGGAAATTTCTTGCTCCTGGGTCGGTACAATTGATTTCTGTCAGTGAATCGCAGGAAATGACGCTGTGAATCACAGAAACATTTTGCTGACATCTTCACATAAAAATGGAACGTTGCACATGAATGAACCATAAAATCCTAGGGTATGTTGCTACATATAATTAACTTTGAATATAAGGTAAACTTTCAATTAGGAATTCAATAGCAACATTGGGTATTGTAAAATACCTATTTCTAGGTCTTGGCTAGTCAACTTTTCCTATTTTCTTAATTGATTTTAGTTTGGAAATTGTATTCATTCATGCAGATTAATTATTAATGATTTTGATTTTAGTATTTTTCTTTGAAATATTTGGAGGGGGAAAGGGGCAAAACGATATTCACGCCCCTCTCCATTTTTATTGGCAAGGGCGATCACTCTCCTCCTCTCCCCAAAGTCTACGCCTATGGCCACGGGCATCCAAAACCATACAGATATTATAATATATTTTAATCTTATATATTTTTCTATTTTTATTGGGGAGGGGGGGGGGATCGCCATCCTCTCCTCTCCTTCCCCAAAGCCCCCACCTATGTCTACAAAACCAAGATAGATAAGAAATCCAAAACTAGTTCTAAGGGGGATTATGAGGCAAAACAGAATTATAGGTTCCCTATTCCTTATTATCCATGCTTTTTATAATTCGAACTCTGCAAACTAATACTATTATCTTCATTATTCATTAAAGTTAATTAACAAATTAATAGCAAGAGTATATTGATAGGGTTCAATGTTCTTAGTAAGAGTACAAAAAGAAGACCGTATATTATTAGGTAAATATAACAAAAACTTACAATTTATTGTGGTTCCGATAACCAGAAAAGTAAGGGAAGGTAGGAAAAATATACATAAAAACAATTACTTATCTTTTTTAAGGAAGTCAAATGACACATGAATAAACAACTAAGGATTTTAAAGTATTTGCAGTTAGAAGAAAAACCATTGCTCACAAAAAATATAGTATGTTGGGAAGTAAATTAATTAATAGATTTTGTTCTTACAAAACTACATACGAGCTCCACCCCAACATGAAGAGAAATTGGCTTTGAAGTTACAATCAGGGCACATATGTCATTTTGTATAAATGATAGAGAAACAAAATTATTTTTATATTAAGAACATCCTTGTGGTTATACCAACAGTAAAGAGAAATAAGGTCATTCATATGCTTGATTTCAAGGATAGAGCACAAAAGGGGAGTAATCATTTAAAAAGGGAGAAACTTGTGTTAATTATTAATTAATTACTTTTATTTAAAAGTTCTGTTAAAGCAATTGATTTCGCTAAAAAGTATATTTAAAAAATGGTAATTGTGCACAACATTCTTAGCTTCTCAAATAAAGGAAATATAAGAGCCAGCCAATTCATTTAAGATAAATTTTACTTATAATCTAAACTTAATTACTGTATATTTCTAGTGTAACATAACTTTTGTTTTAAGAACATAAATAATAGTTGAACTTATTCAATAAACAATAAGAACTTCATTACAAAAAATTCCTAAAAGAAAACCTATATTTTTTGAAAATGTTTCACCAAAACTGTTAAAATGGAACTTTTTTAAAAATGTCTATAAAAGTTTCAGGCCCTAATTCATAAACTTGTAGAAAAATTTCAGATTCTTTTCAAAGAAAAAAGTTAACTTCTACTACAGATTAAGATTCTGTTTTAAATTTTAAAAAATACTATATTATAACTTTGATTTTAAGAAATGAACTTCAAACTTTAACTGTAATGAGTTGTGGTGTCACACCGAATTTCACAAGATAGTTTAAGTAAAAAATTAACTCCTGTGATGAGTAAAAGTTTAAACTTTTCATGAAAATTGTTATGAAGACGATGAAGATATTGCTCACTATAAATGTAATAAAAGAGAAGATGTTTGGGGATGTGCTGGTCACGCACGAAGCACTATCAATTCACAGAAATATCCTGATGCTGTATATTCACCAGATCCTTATTTGTGGGGGTATTTTAATATTAAAGATGGGACATAGTATGAAATCAATCAATTACTCAGACATCCCAATAAATATATATACATAAATGATACTGAAAACATTGTATATATTACAACGTAAAAATATTTGATTATTATATAAATACAATTTTTAAAAAAATATTTCAATAATCCATTCAAGGAATGGATTAAAAAATATTACATTATAAGGATGAGAATAATATATATAAGGGATAAGTAAACTTTAATGAATATTAATATTATATTCAAAATATTTAATGAAGAAAACAATGAAAATCTTGACATTCAACTGAACAAAAAAAAAAAAAGATCAATATTCATTAAACAGAAACAAAAAATTTCACCACCTGGCTTACTCAATAATATTAAAAAAGAAAATGGAAATAATTAATCTTAATTTACAATATAATGAAAAATAAGAAAATTTAATGTAAAACTACAGGTAACATAATATTAGTTAAATCGTAAGAATATAGCTTATTAATATTTCAATAATTGGAGATATCGAGCCCCCAGACTTTGAGGAAGTAATGGATGCAATCCTTCGTATGAAAAACAATAAGGCGCCGGGACCGGATGAATTGCCAGCCGAGCTCTTCAAGTATGGGGGAGATGAGTTGCATAGAGCACTGTCCGATATAGTCCTGACAATTCAGGATGAGGAAAGAGTGCCACGACAGTGGACTAATGCTATAATATGTCCACTCCATAAGAAAGGAGACCAACTTGATTGCACGAATTACCGTGGCATAGCTCTGTTGTCTTGTGCCAACAAAATCCTCTCGAATATCCTTTTCAGCAGACTTACCCCATTTGCGGAACGGGAAATATCAAGCTGGCTTCCGGAAAGGCAGATCCACTGTTGATCAAGTGTTCACCCTTAGGACAATTTTGGAACGGAGTAATGAATATAAAATTCCTACACACCACCTGTTTGTCGACTTTAAGAGTGCATATGACAGCATCAAACGACCTAAGCTGTATGAGGCATTGGGAGAAATGGGTATCCCATGCAAACTGAAACGTCTCGTGAAGTTAACAATGAAAGATGTAAGATGTCAGGTACGGATTCAATCCGACTGCTCTTAAGCATTTCCCTCCAACAAAGGATTAAGTCAGGGTGATGGACTGGCGTGTCTCCTCTTCAATCTTGCACTGGAGAAGGCTGTGCGGGATTCAGGAAATCAGACGGACCACACGATATTCACCTGCACTGTACAGACGATCTGGATATCGTAGCCAGGACACGATCGGCATTGGTAAAGGCCTTTAGGAAACTAATGGACGCTACTTCAGCCATGGGATTGGCCATAAATAAGGAAAAAACGAAATATATGCATACAGGGACTGTTGGCGACGAGGAACTGAGTGTTGGCCCTTACACATTCCAAAGGGTGAACAAATTTACATATTTGGGATCTCTAGTAACTCCAATAAACGATGTCTCTGCTGAGATAAGGAAAAAGCTGGTGGCAGCAAATAGAGCATATTTTGCCTTACTGAAAATTCTCTGCAGCAGATCCATTACCAGGGGCACTAAATTGGTCATATACAAGACTTACATGCCCGTTTCTTACCTATGCTTTCCAATCCTGTACCATCTCAAGAAGTGACGAAAATAATCTTCTGATTTTCGAAAGAAAAATCTTACGTCGAATAGTTGGCCCAGTGAGAAATGGAGATGGATGGAGGATTAGGAGGAACCGAGAGCTTTATGACCTTTACGGAGATATGGACGTTCATAAAACTGGGGAGCCTCAGTTGGGCTGGTAATGTCGCAAGGATGAAAGCAGAAGAAATTCCTAGAAAAGTGGTGGACACCACCCTTCATGGTATGCGACGGCCTGGTAGGCCAAGGCTTCGATGGTTTGATGGAGTGACAGCTGACGGAGTCTGCTACGGATCAGAAGCTGGAAAGCGGCAGCACAAAATCGAGCCGAATGGCGGCGGCTCATTGAGGAGGCCAAGACCCACCCAGGGTTGTAGCGCCACGTAGATAGATAGGTAGAATATTTCAATAACTTCCAAAACATTTTCGAAAACATCAGTTTTAGGATAACCATTATAATCTTTTTTTAAATAAAAAATTTATTTCTGTTAAAAGTCAACTTTAAAGTAACAAAATCAAAAAAAGACTTTATGATGTTAGTACTACCAATCACGAATAAGAAGGTGACATCATTATAGCATCAAGAATGTAACATTGTAAGTTTGTGGTTTATTAGAGTAATGAAATAATGAAATCATTATTATAGAGTAATGAAATCAACTATGGCTATTTTATTAATAATAAATTTCAAAATTAATAATATTATAACCAAAATTTGATACAATGAAATATAAATACTCACATGCAAAACAATACAACATTGGATGAAATCATCAAAAAGTATTGTTCCACGTCCAAGTCTATCAAATTTACGAAGCATCATATCGATAGTATTTGGAGAAAGACGATAGCCAAAGGTTGCAAGAGCTTGCCCCAATTCTTGACGATCAATATTGCCTAAACATGAGAGACAAAGATGTCAGAAAAATATTGTACTATAGGTATTGGGATTGGTATGTTTAAAAGGCTGCCATAGGCTCCTAAAGTAACTTTAATCAAAGCTTGGTTTATCAAAGATTTCTCACTTAGCAACATTGGTATATCAGGCGAAAAATAAAAATGAATTTCCCTCTATATACATCTCATTCCCAGGCGGTTACTGCTGCAGATTAGAACCTTCTCCAATGTCTTATTACCAACAAATTAAAATACAATGGGCATGATAATAAAAATTATTTGACACAAATTACAAATTGAATCACTATTTCATAGAAAAATGAATTGCCACTTAATTCTCTTCAGATATAATAGCTTCCAGGCATGTGAATCTCACCAACTTTTCAAAATATATCCTTCAATTTTAAAAGCTGGCAACTACCTCCATGTCGTCGAGTCATCATTTACTAAGTTCTTTCATTTATTTGTAGTCTGACCAATTGTGCCTCTTTCTCCTTCTTTTTGAAGTGTTATTAGAGAATTTGCAGAACTTCACTTTCAGGTATTTATAAATGTAGAGTTGGTTTAAATAACTCTCATGGCCATAAATAAGACTAGAATAAAGAGTACTGTGAAACTGTCTTCATTTTGCTCCTAATTTTGTTAGAAAAGGCTAGGAGAGCAACCCCTGAACATGGATAACTCCTTTGGCTTAATATTATTTTCACTTATCTGATTAACTTTTGAGGGTAGCATAATATTCAGTCTAGTAAGATTCCAAAGCAATTCCCTACAATTAAGCTGTCATTGGTCCTCTCAAATTCTAGGATGATGGAGATTCACATTCCATTCATAGCTCTTGCCCAACATATTACTGAAGTAGAATATACAATTCACGGCCAACTGCTTTGAGAGAAACCCACATTAAAATTCTCTAATAATCCCTTGCACAATGTAAAATGTTCTTTTCTTAGATGTGCTTACCCAAAGATTTGATTCCTTTCTACTACACTGAGACGATAATGGCTACTGACTATTTCTTTGTTATTTCCTTTCTAATCCATACCACCAGCAGTAAATAATATATTTCCCTATGTAGCACTTCTCCTGAGATATTAAATGATTTTTAAGGAATTGATAATTTCTGATATTTCATTTAGTTCTGAAGGTTCAAGATCATATTTTATTGATTTAATTAGATACCATTTAAGAATTCAAATAGCTATATGACTTATTACAATAACTTATTTTATTGAAGGTATTGTATCTTTGATAAATGAAAAAAATCATGTAAGCAAATAACCTTCAAATTTGAATACATTCTTTAATTCATTAACTCATATCCATGTCTGGATGGAATGTATGTTCCCAAATGTGCAATAATAATGTATAATATATAATAATATTTGAATAAAATTAGTTATCAAGGTAGGAGAATTCATGGGAATTGATGATCTGTCCAAAACCATAAATTAAAATATGTTAATATTAATTAGTTGATGAAATAAAGAATGTGAGATGCTTCCAGATATTGATTATAAATTATCTATATATCCATTTTAAAAATTTTTCTAAAATAATTCATCAAACCAGAAAACTATTGTACCATATTTAATCCATGAATTACTATAAAGTACAAATATTGATCAATTTGAAAAGAAAAATATTATAAATGGAGCCATAATAAACCTGTATTGAAGGTGTTAATCAAATAAAATGTCAATAGATAATCTTATGATTTTTTTTTACAAAACTGCCTGGTTTGTTCTTATGGTTTCTGATTTCCATTTATAAATTATATGTTATAACAGGAAATTATGAAAAAATAACATAATAAATTTATTTTATTTCCAGTCGCATTATTTGCCAATGAAATAAATCCCATCACCTTACAACAAATGCAAATGAATAGTTTATTTATTCTATTTTAAATTGCTAGCATTGTCTTGTCTTTTTGTCTATAATTGTGGATATATGTATGTGCAATTTATTGTTGGATTCTTAGCAATCAATTACTTTTTTTTTTTTTTTTGATGGCTCAGTGTAGTTTATTGGGCTTGGTGTAGTTATTAGTTTATATTTTATAAGACTAGTATTATAATAAGAAAGGAAGAAGAAAAAGAAGAAAGAAAGAAGGAAAGATATATATATATATATATATAATATATATATATATGTAGTAATATAATAATTTGATGTATAAATTATGTCCAAATGGATTGATCGGTATGCTGTGTGTAAAGCAACCCTATGTAATAGGGCAGCACTACTTTCAATAAAGTATTTCTCTTTCTCTCAATAAGAATGAGTACAATTATAGTTCATTCCACATTGAGAGACTGATTTTACTGGAATTTAGCCACTTTGTCAATTAATGATGGAAATTGAGCAATTGCTATTTGAAAAAAAAAATTAAGTTTAAATCAACTCAGGAAATCATCATCAGGGCTAAAAATTAAAAAAATATGTAATAACATCAGAAAAATTATAAATATAAAAGTCTAAGAGTATACTACTTTTATTTTTACCATTTTTCTGATTTCATTCTTTACTCTTTCTTTTATATTTATTAGTTTTTTATGTTTTTATATTTTTTAAGTTTTAGCATTTATGATTAGCCACATGTTTCAGTCAAAACATCGGCAAACTCATTAAAGAAGTTTTGACTGAAATTTCTGTAAATATATTTGTTTATTTAGAAATATTACATTCTGTCACATCAAGGACATCTATAATAGTGATCAGAGAAAGCACACTCACACTCTATTTACAATAAAAAAATAAATAAATAATACAGAAACTTAATAATAATAAATACAATAAAATAAAATAAAAATAAATACAATAAAATAAAATAAATGTATATAAACAAAAGAACTAACATAATCATACACACTCGGGCTTGAGTGGAGGATCTGGCCATTGCCAAAACTCCAATAGATGCTTATTTACAAAAGGTCTCTGGGCCACTGCCGCTTCAACCTTCGAGGAGGATTGTAAGGATGGGTGGTGCTGGATAGAGATTGTGCAAGGGGATTTGGATGATAGGTAAGGTTTTGGTGAAATTTGGAGAATTTTTCTGGAATAAGGTCTAGGACAAATGGGATATTAAGGTCATGGTGTAGGATTTTGTTATTTACATAGAACGGAGCATCAACTATTGTTCGAAGGACTTTAGATTGAAAGGATTGAATACGTTTGATGTTAGAAGCTTTTGCTGTCCCCCACAGTCTATAAGTCCGTATGTCCATATAGGTTTCAGTATTGTCTTGTAGATAAGTAATTTGTTTTCAATAGAAAGTTTGGATTTTCTGTTTAGTAGTCTGTATAGCTGGCCGTATCGTTGGTTGAGTTCTTGTCTTTTGAGTCTAGTATGTGGGTTCCACGTTAGTCTTCGGTCTAAATGAAAGCCAAGATACCGGACTGTGTCTGAGTAAGGAAGCTGGATGGAATTAAAGTGTACTGGTGGACAGGAACTGCGTCGGAGTGTCAAGGTAATATGTTGGCATTTAGATTCATTAACTCTAATGCGCCAGTTATTACACCAGTGCTCAATCAAGGTGAGGTGGTTTTGGAGATTTAAGGATGCTATGTTGGGATCAGAGTTGGATGATAAGATTGCGGTGTCGTCAGCGAATGTTGCAAGAAAAGTATCGGGATGAACAGGGATGTCAGCAGTAAAGAGGATGTAAAGCACGGGACCCAAGACGCTGCCTTGGGGAACACCGGCTTTAACGGAGTAGATATTGGAAAATTCTGTTCCACAGCGAACTCGGAAGGAGCGGTCAGAGAGGTAGGATCAGAGGACTAGGTACAAGGACTGAGGTAAATGGATTTTAAGCTTGAAGAGCAGTCCAGAGTGCCATACCCGGTCAAATGCCTGTGCAATGTCCAGAAATGCACCCGAACAGTATTCCTTGTTTTCTAGGGCTGAGGAAATATGATCAACAACTCGGAGTCCTTGTTGAACAGTAGAATGTTGGGAGCGAAAACCAAACTGATGGGAAGGAATATTTTGGGATTCTATAATGGGTAGGATTCGTTTCAAAAGGATCTTTTCAAAAATTTTTGAAAGGATTGGGAGTAGGCTAATTGGTCTATAGGATGTTGAGATATTGGGAGGTTTGCCTGGTTTTTGGAAAAGGATAATAGTGGAGTGTTTCCATAGCAGAGGAAAGTGGGTGGTGCGTAGGATACAGTTGTAGATATATGTAAGGAATATGACTGCTTTGGATGGAAGTTGTCGAAGGATTTGAGGGGTAAGGAGATCATGTCCAGGAGCTTTACGGGGGATTAATTTTTTTAATTGAAATTTCACTTCGGAAGGATGAATAGCTTTTGGGGGCAAGGAAAGTGGGATTGGTGATGTAAGGAGTTCTTCTACTACTGTTACGGTGTGGGAAGGATGGGATTCCGGATGTGAAATAAATGTATTGGATAGGTGAATGGCGGACTCCTCAGCCTTATCTTCGTCAGATGCTGCCCAGGAGCCATCATCTCGTCGGAGGGATGGGAAATGCGGTGAGGATTTAAGATTTTTGTTGTGGTTTTCCAAAGGGAATTGTCGCGAGAAGAGAGGGAGGATAGGTAGGAGTTGAAGGAATGTGATCTGAAGGTGGCTAATTCCAGTTTTAATTTTTTGCAGTAATAATTATAGGAGCAGCAGTCGGTAGGATGTCGGGTACGTTGCCACAATAATCTGGCACGGCGTTTGGTGTGGATTAGGTCAAGGAGGTGTTGGGGTAGAATGGTCTTTTTAGGAATTCTGGAGGAGTCTTTTGGGAAGGAGACAGTCCAGGCGGCTTGTTGGATTGTGGTAATAAAGGAATTTACGGCACTATCAAGGTCATCGGGAGTTTTGAGAGATATGTTAAGATCAATTTTATCGTAGATGATTTGGCGGAAAATGTCCCAGTTAACTGGGCCCCTAATAAATGACGGTGGAGAAGGTTTGGGAACGGGTTCAAGTGAAACATTAAGGATTAGAGGACTATGGTCAGAGGAAAGTTCATTTAGACGTGTAATGGAACAATTGAGGGGTGGTTAGGGGTGGATAAAGAAATCAAGAAGATCAGGATTACGGTTGGGATCTGTAGGCCAGTAGGTAGGAGAGTTGGGGGAAAGGAGGTGAAAATGTTGGGAATTGAGTGCAGACAGCAGGGTTCGGCCACGAGTATTCGTGGTTCTGGAACCCCATTGTTGATGTTTGGCATTTAGGTCTGCACCCAAGATGAAGTGATGTCCTAAGGAGTCGAGGAGAGAACGGAATTGGGCATTGGATATGGATCGGTTAGGAGGGCAATACGCTGATGCAAGGGTAACCGGAAAGGAAAAGGTTTTTATCACGATAGCGGTGGACTGTAGGAGATCATGTGTAGATAACGGGAGTAGGTGATGGGAGAGGGATTGGTGTACAATGACAGCAGTACCGGCATGTGCTTTTCCGTCAGGGTGGTCAGTACGATATGTCAGGTATTGTGGTATTTTGAAGTGCTGTTTAGTGGTTAGTCGAGTTTCAGTAATTAGTGCCACGTCAATATTTTTGTCAATTAATAATGTAGTTAGTTCGTTTGTGTGATTTCTAACACCATTCGCATTCCAAAGGAGAATGGATAAAGGTTTATTGGAAGTCATTTAAGGATTTTTCGCGGGAGGGATAAAATGTGATACAAGATTGGTGAGAAGAGATATCAAAAGAGTAACAAGGGATCTGAATTCGGAGAGGAAAGATGTAAGTAAACTGGTTAAAGAAGTTTTGACTGAAATTTCTGAAAATTTTGTTTGACACACACATATATATATATTAATAGTGGATTAATAATTGACTGTAATGGATATATTTAAGTGGGGTTGGTTGGGGTGTTCAATCACAAGTAACATAGCAAAAATAAATAAGTTATATTTATTTTTATTTTTGCTGACTTTTCGGCCCAGAGTTAATGGTAACAGTTAGGAACTTATGAAATGAACAATAATGAAATAACGGTAACAACATCATGAAATAGCAAAGAAATGAAAAATGAATTAACAAAGAAATGTAATGGAATATTAAGAGATAAAAAAGTAAGTGTTAGACATTAAATAAGCGGGGTGACGTAGTTGCTAAAAATTCATGTTTTAGTATGTTTAAAGGAAGTGAAATTGACATAGAATAAAATGAAAAACAGAGAAGAGAAACATGAAGTCATATAATGAAAATAATAGTCATAAATAGAAAAATTAAGGTGCAATAAAACAGTAATAAACAGAGGCCACGATGGAAGTTGTGTTGAAATCAAAAGTATGGTTTAGGGAGAGGGAGAGTTCGGATAGTTTGGAGGTGGTGAAGTTACGTGAGGATACAGAATATTTATGTTGGGTGATGCGGTCTTTTAGGAGATTTTTGTTTCACCAATATAAGAGGAAGAACAATTTGGTGTGGAACACGGGATATGGTATACAATACGAGAGGGATGTAAAAGAGGAACCAGATCTTTTAGGGATGTGTACAGATCAGAAAGTGTATTATGAGATTTGAAGGGAAGTTGTAAGTTCAGGTTGGTAGGTCGAAAAAAAATTGTTTATGTTGCCAGAAAGATTAGGGATATAAGGTAGAGATTCAGGAAGAGTGGCTTTTGTTAAGTTTGTTGATGATATTGGGAGGGAAATTATTAGTTAAGATCCTTTACAGAAAAAAAACATAAAGGTATATTATATAACAAAAAATCCTTTTAACTAATAATTTCCCTCCTTATATCCCTAATCACTCCCTCTCCCTAAACCATACATTTGCTTACGACAAAACTGTTCCAGAGCTCGCTAGTTAGTTCTACTGATTTCATTCTATTTATCCCTTAGTTTTGTTTTATCTTCATTTACCTTTTTCTCATTACTTTCTTTTCCATATCAATGGCGCATTTTTTTTATATTGATACATTTATCATTACATCTTATTTTATTAATTTATATAATTTTAAATTTGTAATTCTCTTCAATGTGGTCAGTATGTTTTGATAGATTTTACTGCACCTTAATTTTTCTATTTACATCTCTTATTTTCTTTATATAACTTCATATTCCATTTCTCTGTTTTACATTTCATTTTATGTCAATCTCATTTCCTTTTAACATGCTGAGACATCAATTATTAGAAACTACGTCACCTCACTTATATTATGTATATCACTAACATTTTTTATCTTTTAATATTCCGTTACATTTCTTTTCTATTTCATTAAGTTCCTAACTCGAGTGGGAAGAAAGGTTTGGCTAGGAGATCTTGGGTGAATGATTTCTTATTTTTATTTAGATATTGTATAGAAGCATGTATGTATGTGAGTAGTTGTTTTTATTAGTTTAGTTTATTTTTGTTTGGTTTAGTTTATTTACATTTAGTATTATTGTTTTTTTCTGTATTATTTATTTTTATTTATTGTTGATAGAGCGTGAATGTGCTCTCTGAACACTATTATAAATGTCCTTATTTGTGACAGATTGTAATATCTCTCAATAAATATAGATAATTAAAAAAAAAAAACTTTGTTACTAGTGACTGAACATCTCAACCAACTCCTCTTCAATATTTTTTTCCCCTTATTTTTTGTTCATACATTTTTTTTCTTTTTTCATTTTTTTTTTCGTTAATGTTCAATTTCCTTTTCTCTTTCTTCTTCCTTTATAAATTTTCCTTATATGTTTTTATTCTTGTTTCTAAACCTAATGCCTACTTACTAATGACAAATACTAAAATGTTTAAAATTATACAATAACAATAAAAAAAAGTTCATATACACCAAATAAAGTTCATATACTAAATAAAATTAATATATACAAATATAATAAAGATACTCAATAAATAAATTCAAATCATTAGGATGTTTAGTTCTATGTAGAAGAATTCCAGAAAGATATTTAGTTAGTATAAGGCCAATGAGGTCTTGAATTTTTCTATAGGAATTGTGGAGAAGAGTGATGTGAGGATACAGTTTAAACTGCTTGTGAATTAGTGTCAGTAAAAAAGGTCACAATCAACTGATCGTGAGATAAAATATTTTGATGAAAGTTTGGTTCTTAAATTAAAATAAAGGTTTTAATTAATGGATTGGGGCTATAGAAAAATTCATCTAGATATACAATGAAGAAGTGTGGAGGACAAACCACATCCAGTGGGAGAAAAAAAAGCAAGGAGGTTGTCATTTGAAATTTATCTTTCAATGTTTTTTTTTATTTTATTTTTTTATTTCTTAATGACATTTACAACTGTATTAAAGAAATACATTTAGTAAATTTGAACATATGGATATAATGAAAACACTTGTCGAGAAACTACTCAGTTTAGTATTATTCAGTAGCACTCTAATGATATGTCGACATTAGGAGATCACGGGGCCATCTTCTTTTCAGACACCTCGAAGAGTTATCAGGAATTGAAGAGGAAGGAAGGTTAGAAACGAGAGGGTTGGGATGATTCTGAAGTTTATTATGGAAGGATAAGTATCTGGATTGGGCCAATCAAGAGTTTCACAAACATGAAACATAAGAAACATTAAGGTCATTATGGATGGTTTTATTTGTAAAAAGTAGAGAGCATTAAGGATTTTGAATTGTAAGGATTGGATACGAGAGGAATTCAATGATTTAGTGGAGCCCCATAGCTCAACTCTGTAAATCCAAATAGGCCTTATTATATTCATGCATATGAGTCTTTTGTAATTAATTGGAAGTTTAGAGCATTTGTCTAGTAAGTGCTGACATAATCGGAAACGTCGAGTGGTTTCTTGTCATTTCAGTCTGGTATGAGATTTTTCAATGTTATGTAGTAAAAATTATTTTCTATTTTCTATTTCTAAATATCAATATATAATACCTGAACCATCCCGATCAAAACTTCTAAAGCAATTCTGCCAATCTGTGACATATTTCCACAAATAACCAAAATCTTCAAATGATACACCACCTCGGTTTTGCTTATCGAACATGCCTAGAAGCAATGTACCAAAAGAATATAATTTTAGTATTATAATGTTTCAAGCAGTTAATACATCATGATAAAACATAACTAAATGAAAAATATACAGATACATCAATATTTGAAGAAAAAATCAAATGATGAAGTATAAATATTGGGTTGTCTGGAAAATAAAGCAAGATTTTAAGTTTTCTTTAAAATGCCCCTCTTTATAACAAGTTGTTTACGTTTACTAGATTATTCATTTGTATAAATGTCAACACTTATTAATCCACTTCCAGAAGATAATGTCTGTTTACCTCTGTAACATATCGCTACTTAAAAATAATTCAATCTTTTAATAGTCCGGTAAAGTTAGGGAGGAAAACAGCCTTATCAACATAAAAAGAAAAAAAATGAAATTTGTCAGAAATTGTTCATTACCCTCCCTATAATAACTGGTAAAAAGTCCCAAAGAATCCTACATCAGGTTTTGATGGGGGAGAGGGAGAAGGACAGAGAACTGATTTTTTAAATTTTTTGAGGCTATTTCAAAAACTATGAGTTTTTTCGCAAAGATTGTTGAGTACAATAATTAAGTACTTTACAATCTCTAATACATTTTTATTTCTTTTTTATTTTTATAAAATCAATGATTACAGAGATATTTATGAGATTATTTTTAATGTATTCAACTTTAAGCAAAAATTGCTTCAAACCACAAAATTGATGTTCATAGTAGACATATTTTTTTTAAAGTTTAATTAGTTTTTAAAAATTTTGTTCATTCAAATTATTATTCAAAGTTTCTTTCTTTTAATTATTCAAAATAATCATTGACAACAGAATTATATTCGATATAAATCAATGGGGAATTTGTTGATAGTAATATGAAGTTTAGACTGACATTCATTTCATATAATTGATAATATGTGATATAGAAGACATTAAAATCTACAAAAAGTTACCATAAACCATGGTCTGATTGCATACAGAGAACCAGGAAACTTAAATTTTATTATTTTTAAGCCAACCATGTTTTTATGTTGAATATAAAGCAATAACTAAAAACATGTGTAATTTAGGATACAATCTATTACTTAGTAGTTAAATAGATTAAATCCAAGTAAATCTTGTCTATTTTAAAACGATTTAAAGGGAACTTGGAGTTTGAGCAGGTAAACTACAGTGAGTTCGGTTTTTCATAAAATCAAGGATTCTGAGCGATTTTTTTTTATAACCCTACAACAAATCTGAAGGTACCACACTTTCAGTAAAACTTCCTTGTTTGGCGAGGATTAAATCTATATTATTTAGGTTGAGTTTAAATTTTCTCTAATTGAGTAAAAATATTATTACTATGATAAAATTAGGAATTGACCCAAATATTTTTACTCAATTAGGGAGGAATCTCAACTTATTCTATACCAAACTACAGCTTAATTAATATAGACTTAAAGTCGATCAAACAAGGAAGTTTTTATGAAAGTTTGGTATCTTTAGTGCAGTTGGGGGCTTATAAAAAAAAATCACGAAGAATCCTTGATTTTATGGAAAACCAAATTTACCGTACTTTAACTGCTCAAAAGTCACCTTTAAATCGTTTAAAAAAAAACAAGATTTACTTTTATTTAATGTAAATTTAATTCAGTTTACTATGAAGTAATTGGTTATAACCTAAATTAAACATTTTTATTGTTATTGCATTTTATTCAACATAAAATGTGGTTGGCTTAAAAATTACCAAATTTAAGTTTTCTGGTTCTCTGTATATAATCCAACCATGGTTTATGGTAACTTTTAATATCTTCTATCACATATTATCAACTATATGAAATGAATGTCAATCTAAACTTCATATTATTATCACAAAATTCCCCATTGATTTATATTGAATATAATTCTGTTGTCATTGATTTTTTTGAATCATTAAAAGAAAGAAACTTTGAATAATAATTTGAATGATCAAAAATTAAAAAAAAAAAAAATTAAACTTCAAAAAGTTATCTTCTACTATGAACAATATCAATTTTGTGGTTTGAAGCAATTTTTGCTTAAAGTTGAATACAATAAAAATAATGTCATAAATATCTCTGTAAGCATTGATTTTATAAAAAAATGTATTGAGTAATTTTGATAGAGATTGTAAAGTACTTAATTATTGTACTGAACAACCTCATGGTTTTTTAGATATTCTCAAAAAACTAAAAAAATATCAGTTTTCTGTCCTTCTTCCTCTCTCCCCATCAAAACCTGATGTAGGATTCTTTGCGACTTTTTACCAGTTATTATAGGGAGGGTAATGAACAATTTTTGACAAGTTTCATCTTTATTTTTTTAATGTTGGTGTCAATACCTAATTTTACTGGATTATAAGATGTCAACAGGGGATTTTTATATAATTTTGTTTTACGATTTTAACTCGGCCGGAATAGGGCCCAGACAGCCAGAAACATCAATGAAGTCTGGAGAGCAGAATTAATGAGTAAACTGTTAAGGATGGTTAAAAAATTTCAGGAGGGAGACTTCAGCCTTCAAGGACAAAGAAGGTTGTGGAAGGACTTTCTCTCTGATGATGATGTTCTGTGGGCTTTGAACCCCAGAACAACTGTTCGAGAACTTGCAGGGAAACTGAATCTGACCTCCTCAAGGCAATTGGAAAGGTATAAAAGCTTGAAAGTTGGGTTCCACACACATTAAACGACCCCCCAAAAAAACCAGCATCATGAAGTTTGTGTTACACTTCTGTGCTGAAACAAAAACGACCCCTTTCTGTCCAGAATCGTTATTTGTGATGAAAAGTGGATCCTTTATGATGACAGTAGATGTTCTGGACAGTGACTCGACAAAGGAGAATCAGCAGAACATTTTCCAATGCCCCCAAATCATCAAAGAAAGTGATGGTTATTGTTTGGTGGGCTTCATTTGGTTTGGTACACTACAGCTTCTTAAATCCTGGAGAAACCATCAATGCCGAATCATATTGTACGCAATACATTGACAATAATGCAGCCATCGTTGGTCAATCGGAAGGGACCCATTTTGTTGCATGACAACACCCGGCGGCATGTCTCACGTATGTGTGATGCCACAACTGTTGGAACTTGGTTATGAAACTCTGCCACATCCCCATACTCTCCAGATCTCTTGCCTACGGATTATAATTTTTCTAGCCATCTGGACCACTACTTACATGACAAAAAATTTAATGGACAAAGATAATTAGAAAATACGTTTTTGGAGTTTATCAATTCTAAAGATGGGAAATTCTATTCTGAGGGAATGGAAAAGTTGCCAACACGTTGGCAGAAATGTATTGATAGTAGTGGAGATTATTTTGATTAAATAAAACAGTAGTAAATCTTTCTTTTATCTTTTTAAACCAAAATCTTGCATTATTTTCCAAACAACCCAATATATATTTAGACCTAAATATACTGGATATAAAAATTTCTTAAAAACAATTTGATACATAGTAAAATTGCAATTTTTCATTTTGGAAAAAATAAACTCAAGTTCTTTTTTAAGGTTAAAGAGTTACCAAAGGCAATTTTTTTAGGGTATATGTATAACATAATGCTTCATGAATCTTATCAAGCTTTAAGGATTTCAATTGCTTCCAATCTCCTCCAAATTCCTTTACTCACACATTTTTTTAAACATTGAACTTACTTGAGGAGAAGAAACTCAATTGACAGGCTCAAATCCTCCATGTCTCTCTAGGATTTCCTTTTCTTCTCGCTTCCAGGGGATTTCATTGTAAAGCTTCTTTTTCAATGACAATTTATCTATTTACTTTTTTTGCCCCCTGCCCGGTATTGCTGGCATTCAGGAGATATTTTGGCTTTTGCGTACGTCCACTACTGTCAATAATCTACTATTTATTTTATTTATTTACATATATTATTAGGTTCTATATTTATTTTTAGGAACAATCATTAAAAGGGTTAACTGTGGTGCAGCCAAGTGTGCAGTTGCGAGCACCTTTCTAATGGGACTGCATCTTGTCCTCTTTGAATGTTCTCTTCACCTATCCGTCATCTGGCATCTGACTCCCTCTACTCAGGGAGAGCTCCACTTCCTCTTCCAGTGGTGAGGTCCTTCCAACCTTAAACAAACTCCTGCAGGAATTTATAATTTCTGTCCTCCACCAGCTGCGGAAGTCTGCCTCACTGAGGGTATATAGCCTTTCATGAGCCTTGGTTGGTCTCCCTTCATTGCAGAGCAGGATACAAAGATGTACTCTGATGTTTCAAAGACTCCCTAAAAGGACACTGGGGGTCAACTCTTCACATGGTCAAATAGTTTTCCCAGAACTCTCCAAGTCCTGTGAGAATCTGCAAGATTCAATAGTCAGGTAGGATTCAAGTCACCTTCTATCTTGCATAGACATTAGGGAAGAACTTCCTGAGGGTGGATCCATTACGGCTAGCCACCCACTATCTATTCTACTCTTTGATGGATTCCTCCCACTGATTCAGGTTCTCCCTGAGTCCCTCCAGTAGCATGTTCAGCCCATGCCTTTTGACATCATATTTTATCGTGTGAATAGATAAAAAGGAATATCCATAGCTGCATAATGGAGCAAAGAAAAGTGAGCATAAAGGAACTGGTTTTATGCTGACTTAAGACTAAGAGAGCATGGTGTAGCCTTTTGTTGTTTGAACCTATCAGTGATAGACTCTGTAGAATTTGCCTTAAAGGAAGATTCAGAAATGAGACATTAATATCAGCCGGTGCTCCAACAAATGAGAGTGATGATGACGATAAACTAGCTTTCTATCAACAATTAGAAAGAGCCCTTCAAGTTAGGCCCAAATATGATACAAGAATTATCACAGGCGACTCGAACACTCAGTAGGAAAAGAAAGTTTTACAAAAAATGTTGCTGGAGCCCATTCGCTTCATGAGGAAAAAAATTATAATGGTAAGCATTCAAGTCAATTTGCTGAAGAAAATAATATGATAGTGATAACTACTTGCTTTCCTCATAAGAACATTCACCTTGAAACATGGAAGGCACCCAATGGCTG